ACTAGTCAGGGAGATTACTTCTTAAATTATATAAATGTCTAACCACTATGCTGTACCCCTGAAATTAATACACAATAATAGTGAATGTCAACTGTAACTGGAAAATTAAAAAGCAAGGGGCAAACGTGAAGGACAATAAGAGGTCCAAATTTCCAGGTATAAAATAAATAAGTCATGGGGATGTAATGTACAGCATGGGGAATATAGTCAATAATATTATGATAGTGTGGTATGGTGTCAATTGGTTGCTGGACTTATCATGGTGGTCTTCTTTAGGTATATAAATGTTGAACAACTATGCTGTACCCCTCAAACTCATATAATATTTTATGTTAGCTATATTTTTAATAAAAATCTTTTTTTTTAAATTCTAATAACATTGATTCAATAACATTTCTCTCCTTCTTGGATGTTTCATCTTATTCTAGTTTAGCTTGGTTATTCTGTGTTGAATTTGAATGAACATTTTCTCCCTGGCCTGTCCCCCACAAAAAGCCTTGGAAGTGTGGCAATTACCTGAGCATTATTCCAAAATGACTAAGCATCATCTGGTAGTAGTTGATAATGGACAAAATAATTGCTGTTGTGTTAGAACTGGATGAAAGAGGCTACATTTAGGAAGCTAAGATTGAAGATAAAAGAGAGTGCCTTTAGGAAGCTTTCATTTCAATCTAGATAAAATTAATTTAAGCACAAATGGAATGAGAAAGATAAAAACATAGTTTACCGTAACTCAAGTAAATTTTGTTTTTGGCATTTGAAGAAAGTTCAGAGGAAAATGAAGGACAAATAAACAGCAAAAATTAAGGATACATATTGTAATCCATAGAGCAGACAACAACAAATCCTGCAAAGAGAAATATCAAAACACCAAAAAGAAAATTAAAATGAAATTTCAAAAAAATATTTATATAATGTAAAAGAAGGAAGAAAAGGAGAAATAGAAGAACAACAACAAATGAGAGAGAATAAAACAGAAAACATATATTAAAATAGTATGCCAATAATTGCCTTGAATGGTATACCATTCAAGTGTGCTAAACACTCCCTATTGTATTAAAATGCAGAAATTGTCAAAATGAACTTTTAAGAGCCCCAACCACATGCTTTCTGTAAGAACTGTTTAAATATAAATACAACTATAAACAATTTAGGTCAAGTTTAGCAAATAGTTTTCAAAAGTCCCCAAAGTTCCCATCTAATTCTTCCCCAAAGTACTTCCCACGCTTACTGTATTAATGTTCTGTTCTTTAGCATTAACCACTGCATTCATATTTATTAATTCCCATAACTATAGGCCAAGAGAATAAAAGAAACACATATTCAGCATTCTCCCTAAAGCCCATGGGGAGGAAAAAAGTAAAAGATCCAAAAAAGTTTTTCCTATTGTCTGATTTCTGGAACAAATTGTGAATAAAATTACAATATCCAGGAGATGGAAGAGTGTGTAGAATCAACCAATCTTCCAGTAATATCTATTGTAGTTCAAGCAAGAAGCTCCTTTAGAACTATTAAGGATGACATTATCCCTTACTTAAATTCCCTTAATCGATATTGGGGGAAAAGCAATTCATATAAGGAATCTCCTGAAATCATAAAATGTAAAAGTTTCACATGGTCCTCTAATATTCAGTAATTGCTGACTCCCTTTTTTATTTTTCTTTGTTGGATAATTTGGAAGTGATAGATGTCTCTGAACAAATCAAATTTTATGATGTATTTTAGATTAAAATTTTTCAGGTGGCCTATTTAGTTTTTCAGAATATAGGAATACATTTACAAAATAATGTTTTAATTTCATGAAGTTTTCTTAGAAATAATGGCAGTACCACCAACAATCATAACCACAGCAGCACGCTTTAAGACCTAAAAGTGAATCTTTAAAATATCAAACGTGCTAATATGCCAAAAAATAGAGAAGTCTTATCCATGAAGGTAATTGTAAATCATCATCTATTACTTACTTCATGAAGCCACTTTCTTCAGAAAACTCCCAATTCCTTCAAACTCCATCAGTTTGGTTACCAAATACTGCCAAATATATAACTAATTTATAGTAGTTGAATAGAATCATAACCAGATTTCACAATTTACATAGCTGATTTCATATAGCTATATTTATACCTATAATGAAAGTTATAGAACTGTTTTTCCTCTGAGAAGTTGGATAGCATCAGGGTGCTTTCCACTCATGTGTCCCCCATAATACATACATGAGACTTTCTGTTAAGATGGAGGATGAAGGAGGATGGGTCAAGAATCATTCCCAAGTTTTTTTATTTGGTATCTAAACTGAAGGTTGGCCCATTCACTTATATAAGAAAATCAAATGGAGAAAAGTTAAGTTTGAACTTGGACATATTGATTTTGATGTACAAATAAGTTGGTCTGGAGTTTAGATGCTATAATTGCAACAGAAAGGAAGGTATCAGTGCACAAGTGATCATTGAAATCAGGATCATGGATGTGTTCATTTGGGAGACTGTGGATTCAAAGAATGTCAAGGATGGAGCCCTGGGTCACACCAATGTCTGGGGGACACATGGAGAACAAGAAGCCCAAGAAGGTGACAGGGAAGAAAGTCAGGGAAGTGGGGGAAAGTGGAGCGAGTTGTGTTACTGAAATCAAAAGGAAGAGAGAACATTAGGGAGGGGTATCAAATGAAGCAGAATAAATATGTAATGTCTCACCATAATCTTGTCAGTGATAAGCAAGGAAGGGTATCTCAGCCCTTAGCTTGATAAGATGTTGGTATTTTTCATCTTTTTCATTTCAGTTATTTTCAGGCTAATTTTAAAAACTACCCTTTACACGATGTATCACATACATACCTACATATCAGTTTGCTAGGGCTGCTCTAACAAATCACCACAATTTTAGTGGCTTACAATGACAGAAGTTGCTTCACTCACAGTTCTAGAGCCCACAAATCTAAAATCAAAGTGTAGGCAAGGTGAGTTCCTTCTTCAGGGCTCAGAGGGAGAATGTGTTTGGTACCTTTCTCCCAGCTTCTGCTGGTTGCCCCCAATCTTTGGCATTCCTTGGCTTGAGGCAGAATAACTCCAATCTCTGCCTCAGTCGTCACACAGTATTCTTCTTAGGTGTCTGTGTCCAAATTTCCCTCTTCTTGTAAGGACAGCAGTCATTGGAGTAATCCAGTATGACCTCATCTTAACTTGATTTTAAGTCTGCAAAAACAATGTTTCCAAATAGGGTCATATTCTGAGATTCTGAATGGACATCAACTTTTGGAGGGTACTATTCAACCCAGCATCCTACGGGTATGTTCGGAAATTTACAAGTGCCATGGCTTGTAGACTCTAGAAAGAAGGATCAAGTTAAGAAATTAGAATGGTGCACCTAAGAAATGAATTTTATGTGGGCACCGGTTGGAGGAGGTCAATGAGAGGACATGATCCCTGGCTGAACTGACAAGTGGACCCAGGCGACCAGAGGTTCCTCACCTCTTCCCCTGGTCTTGGAATGTATGTTCCATTGTTCCCATACTAGGAGCCACTTCAAAGGACACTGTCTCGAGAGAGTGATGTGTAACTGAGACCATCAAGATGGTATACTCGACTGAATCCCATTAAGGCCTCTATAGAAACTCTTAAGAGTCTGGTGGGAGGGTGCACTGTTTGTGGCCACCCAAGACAACTCTCATATGTAAGTTCCCTTGTTTTTTAAAACTGCCACCTACCAATATAGAGTGGTGAGCCTCCTTGTATGGTGGCTAGCTTCTCATTTCACTGGGGGATCCCCTGAGGTTTTGAACCAGCCGCACTGAATTTTTTTGCACCTTAGTTTCCTTCAATTGTAATATGAGCCCAAAGTAAATTAAGACTCACTCTGTAGAAATTCTTCACACACAATGTTTTTTTAATTTGGCATCTCCTCTACCCTAAGAAATACCCCCTCTGAACTATTTCTATAAAGAAGAAATTCACATTTTTTTTCACTCAGTAAAATACAGAATCAGAAAGCTTTTCCAACCTGTTGGGGCCCCGTTTGACAGTTTCCATAGCCATGCAGATGGCTAAACTAATGGACTCTTTAAAACTTTGAAGTAATGAGAGGTGTGGCCAAGGACCACACTTTATTTAGACATAAGTACCTTTTCTTCATTATCATCAAATATTTACTATGCACCAATAGTCTTCGTGGCACTATTCGGCATTAAGTGTATTTAGGTCTTTAAAAAAAAATTCTTTCCCTGGGATGACATTGGAGAGGAAAATAAAATATAAATAAGTAAGTAAATAAATAAGTAACACATGAAAGTCACATTTGGACTAATTCTGACATTTGAGCCATCCAGTTAATTCAAGAAGTCATTCTGAGGTATGATTGATTCATGAGCGATCCTTCTTGATCACTCTTGCCCCAACCCCCAGGTCCCTGCCATTTTGGGATCCTTTCCAGGGTCCCCAAACCAGAACCAGACCAGGCTTAGCTGACCAGGAGCAGCGCCATGAACAAGCCTCCGAGCTGTCGGGCGTCCCGGCGAGTCCTCCAGACGCCGGCGTCCCACTGCTGTCCTCTCTGGGTCCGAGGCTGCTGAGGATGCAGCAGTATCGGGGCTTCCACACCAGCTCCTCAGTCCATATGGCTCTCCATAGTCGATCATATAACTATAAAGAGAGGCCAAATTTGTGCAACAAAGGCTCTGAATTTGAAATATGTATCTCAAACATCGAGTGGCATTTTTTTTTTTAAGAGAAAAAGTAAGCCACGTTGTAGCATCCACAACTCTTGTGAAGCAAGGGCTTCGGGACGGTTGCTGCAGACGAAACTTGGACAGACAAGGCTTTCTAGATGGGGACCAGAACCAGGATCCCAGAAATCTGTTCAACCATTTTTTTTTTTAAATTGCTCTGAACACCAAATGAAGGCCACGGGCTCTGTGTAGGTGGGGATAACAAGTGGCCCTGGGCTATCCGGGTCCTGGTCCGCCTGCGTCCGCCGCGGGGCCGGGGACCCCAGCAGCAGCGGGACGGCCGGGCCCGCGGCGTTTTCGGTTTCCACGTCTCCTTCCCAGGCCTCTCCCACTTCCTTTCGCACCGGTCCCCGCCCGGCCGCCAAGTCCGGGGGTCGAATGTCCTGGGGGGCCTGGTCCTCCCCCCGCCCACCCCCGGGACCAAAAGGAGGCGAATTCCTGTGGGTCCCAGAAGTGCCAAGAGTGCGCAGCAAGACGGGAAATTGCAAAAGTCCTCGCCCTCCCTGTGGTTTCCCGTAACTCCCGCCCCTCGGGCTCACCCCGCAGCTGATTCATAGCCCGGGCGCGGGGCCGCCTCCCCACAGGCGGCGACACCACCGACGGCCGCACCGCCACCTCGCGCCGCTGAGGACTGGGCGGGCTCGGGGAGCCCTGCGCCCGCGGGGTGAGTACCCGGCCGCCCGGCTGCCCGCGCCCCCCGCGCTCCCCGCGCCCCGCCGCGGCCTCGGCACGACCCCGCGCCCCGCCGCCCTCCGCGGTGCTTCCGACTGGCGGACCCGGCGCGGCGCGGGGAAGGATCGGACAACCTGGCCGCCCCTGCCCGCCGGACGCGGCCCGGAGCCCAGCCGCCTGCAGGCCCTGCTCGGCGCCGTCCGTGCCCCGCGTCCGCCGCGGCTCGGGGTTGCATCTGCGCCGACACGGTGCTTTGAGGGGGTCCTCGCCCCGGGCCCGCCCACCTGGCGCGTAGCACTGCGAGTAACGCTTTCCAGAGCGCACCCCGCGGGGTCCGCCGCGGCGTCTCCTTCCCTCCTTTTACGTTTGTTCGTCCCTCATCCCACCGCCGCGTCCTCCAGTGGTCGGGAATGTCTGTGGCGCCAAACTTCCCATTTGATCCACCTTTGCTTCTTTCTCTCGACACACCGCCATGGGGGTCACTGCTGTGCCTGGCCTCTCCTCACAACCCCCTAAACTCCCGCGTGACAGTCGCTCGTCTCGAAGTCGTGATCTCCCTCCACCCGGTCTCTGTTTACACCTGTGGGAGGTACTCACCCACAGGTGGGGCCGGGATGTCCTGCTGATGTTAGATAGTATCTGGATCAGACGCCAACCCTGGCTGTGAATGGAGGTGGCAGCGTTGGCAGGTTGGGCAGCTGGAGCCTTGCGTGTGTAAGCCTCCCACCCCCTTTTATAGACAGTCCTGGGCATGGAGGGGTTCAGTAACTTGTCCGAGACTTGGACAAGTCGGAGCTGGCAGTGGTGGCGCTGAAACTGCCGAGACCAGGGCTTTGCTCCTGACACCCTGAGTTCTTTCTTGACGGTTATTGGCCTGTCCTTCATCCGCTCACCAATGCATCCCTCCATCTCTCCATGCATCCATCCTGTCTGCCTGCCATGTGGAGGCACAGTGCCACAGAGAAGGGCCACTTGATAACCAAGCTGGAAGACCTTTTGTGAAAAAGCTAATTCTCCAACTCGAGAGGAGTAAATGGGGTCAATGTAGGCAGAGGATAGAAAAGAATTGAATATGGCATATTTATTGGAGCTGGAAAGAAGCTTTGGGTCTTATTCCCAAGTTTAAAACTGACTTTGGGACTTGGGTCGTGTTACTTATTGCCTTAGCCTCAGTTTCCTTGTCTGCAAAATAATGGTTCATACTTGCTTTGCATCAGGCACTCTTCTAAGCTTTTCATATATTGCTCATTGAAGCTTCACCAATAAGGTAGGTACTAGTTTTATAACTCTCATTTCATTAGTGAGGAAACTGAGTCCCAGAGAGGTTAAGCAACTTGTCTAGGGTCACACAGCTAGCAGGTGATAGGGTCAAGATTTGGCCTTGGAGTTTGCTTTTAACCCCTATGTTGTGCCTGAAACTTAGGACCCTCTTTGGACCTCCATTGTTGTTCTGCCCTGGGGATAGTGTTTCATTGTTCTGCTTTGTCTTCCTCCTGAGCTGCTTTAAAATGCCCTTAGAGACATGGGGCTGAAGAGCCCCAACCAGTCATAGTGGCTAGGGATTCCCAAACTTAGCTGTGCTTCAAAATCGTTCCTGGAGTTTCAAAGCCCCAACCTCAGCTACCCATTCAGACTCTTCAGGAAGTGCTCAGTTTGGTGTCTCCCCTGGTAGCATTCACTACTGCTTAAAATGCCTGCAGTGGCAGAGAGCGCATCACCTGATTTTTCATTGCTGGATAGAGCTAATTCTCAGCTGTTACTGGCCTCCTTGTGACTTACATCTTGGTCCCAGTTCTGCCTCCTGTTGTCCCAGCAAATGTTAGGCAAGAACACTTGCACACCGGGTCTCTTTTCTTTAACCCCCAAAGACCAAGAACACCTACCTGAATTCATGTAAGTGTTCCAGAGTCTCTGGTGTTCTTACAACCCTTTTGTCCTGAAAAAGGAACCAAAGCAGGAAAACTATACACGGTTTTGAAAGAGGAATGGGTGGAAATGTGATTTGACAAAGAGTGTGTTTTCCATGTGGGAACCGGGCCGGGGCATTGTTGGCTCGGGTAGGAGGAAATTTTAGTGAGTGTCATCTGTCTCACTTACAGGAAGGGTGAGCCCCGGCTGCCCTTTCCCTGGAGGAGGAAGCCCTCCTTGATTTTAAAAAGAAATGTGTGAAGTGGGGAAAAATGAAACAAATAGAATCTTGTGAGAAATACCCCTCCCTTTAAATAAGCCTTGTAGCTACATAAAGGGAGAGTTTCTTTTCCAGCAGCTGTATCCTTGGTTTCACAGCCTTCCTTCCCTCCTCATTTTAGTTCTGCTGTTTTTTCAGCCTTTGTTTACTCCACGTCGTCTGGTTTTTGTTTTTGATGTTTTAAAAATAATACAAATAATAACTGAATACATTCTCATTCAAACAATAGAGAAGTACATGGAATGAATTGTACAAGTACCATCATCCTTCCTACTCCCATGAGAAGAAGGAAGGCTAAGTTTGGCAAATACCATTCCAAGATTGTTTTTGTCTTGTATACATTTGCATATTATGTATATATACTTTTATATATAGATATGAATGAGATCTTACTCTACATTATGCAGCTTACTTTTTCACTCCCAAGCCTTAGAGATCTTCCCATGTCTATAAGTATATCGTTTGGTAATGGCTACATGTTATTCTAAAGTGGAAATACCATTTATCCAACCCTTCCCTTATTGATGGACATTTAGGTCATTTAAAATTATTCCACATTAGCAACAATACTCCAGGGAAGATTGTGCATTCATCTTTGGGCTTAAGCCTAAGTATTTCTGTGGAATAGAACCCTAGGAGAGATATTGTTGGGCCACAGGGTTTGTCCATTTTTCAACTTGATAGCTACAACCCTTCCAATTGCACCACTGCCCCCAGCCCAGGTACTAATTCAAACTCAGTGCATGAGAACCTGTTTTCCTTAACCTTCCTAATAGCAGCTGTTACCTTTCCCTAATTTAAACTTTCAAATCTGGTAAATGAGTGAAACCCAGTAAGGAAGGCATTTTAATTTTCATTTTACTGAATACTACTATGATTTAATATCTCTAAATATTTATGGGTCATGTGTGTCTTCCATGAAATACCTGTTCATGTCCTTTGCTCATTTTTCTATTGAGTTGTTTTTCCTTATTCCTATGTATTGCAGAAGCTCTATACCTATTCAGGATCTTAATCCTTTGTCTGTTACAGATGATGCAAGTATTTCTTCTAGTGTAAGCTCTTTTTCCCCAGTTTTTTTGGAAAAATACATAACATATGGTGCAATATATGACATAAACTGTACCATTTTTAAGTATACAGGTGTTATTAAGTATATTCATATTATTGTGCAACCATCACCACCATCCTTCCCCAGAACTCTTTTCATCTTGCAAAACTGAAACTCTGAGTCCATTAAACAGCAACTCCCCATTCCCCCACCCCAGCCCCTGGCAACCAAGGTTCTAGTTTCTGTCTCTATGAATCTGACTACCTCTAAGCACCTCATGTAAGTGGAATCATACAGTATTTGTCTTTTTGTGACTGGTTTATTTCACTTAGCAAAATGTCCTCAAGGCTCATCTATGTTGTAGCAGGTATCAGAATTTTCTTCCTTTTTAAGACTGAATAATGTCTCATTGTCTGTATAAGCCACATCTTGCTTATCCAGTCAAAAGTTTTAACTATTTTTGCTGCACAGTTTTAAATGTTTGTGTAATCAGCTCTGCAATCTCATGATTTCTGTGCTTTGCCTAATTTAGGAAGGTCTTTTTCACCTACAAATTATTTTTTAAAGTAACTTATTTTTTTCGAGTATTTACAGTATTTTGGTTTTTACAATTAGCTTTTTTAAATACCAGATTTTTGTATAAAGTGAAAGGTAAGGATGTGACAGTTGTTTTTCTAGAATTTTCTGCAGTTAACCCAACAACCTTTATGTAATCATCTATCTTTTTTCTAGTTCACTTGAAAATCTGTTTTTATAGTAAATTAAATTCCTATTTATATAAGGGTCCGTTTCAGTGATCGTTTTGTCTCTTTTTATGCCATTGCCACACTGTGTTAAATGCTACAGCTGTATAGTATGTGTTTTTTTTAATATATCTGGTAGTAGATATATTTGTACATTTTTGAAAAAAATTTAGAAATGATTTTTTTGTATATTTTGTCTTTTGCATAAACTTTATAAATAGCTTGTCAAGGTTAATAAAATCATGTTGAAATTTTTCTTAAAATTTTCTTGGCTTTATAATTGTTAGTAATTATTTTTTTATGCCCTAATGTCCTGAGTATGGAGGGAGGACAGCGTGATGTGGGAAATTCTGTGCTTTGGGGATGAGTCACCTGGTTTCAAGTTGTGGATGAGCTATGCCAACCTATGTCAAAGTTACTTTTAACCTTTCTTAGCCTTAATTCCCTTATCTGTGTATGGAGATAATAATAGAATCTCTTTCATAGGGCCGTTGTAAGAATAAATGCATGTACATCACTTAGCAAAGCACCTGGCAGAGAGTTAGCATCCAGTGCTAGCTGGGGCCATGATCACTGAAGGAACCAGTAAGTATTTTCCTTTATATATTGGTAGTATCCTAGGAGACAAAAATATGTAGTAAATGTGGACCATATTTACTAGAAACACATACAAGTGTTTCTCAAACTTCAGTGTGCACATGAACCACTGGGGATCTTGTTTCAATACAGATTATTAGTCAACAGGTCTAAGGTTTTGCACTTCTCACAAGCTCCTGAAATCAGTGCTACTGATCTTTCATCCACACTTTGAGTATAAAATCTTTCGCTGATATTTAAAATTATGCTGGTAGTGACAGTATTTCCTATGAGGCTAAATGTGATTGACAGGACTTGGAAATGGCTTTCTTTTAATATTATATGCTAAAGAACTAAATTATAGTTGTTTCCTCCCTCCCTCCCTCCCTCTCTCCCTCTGTCCCTTCTTCCATCCCTCCCTCCCTTCCTTCCTT